GATAATGATGAGACAAATTGAAATCGTTTTTTTTATTTTGAACGTACACCATCAAACAGTGGAGTAATTGCCAGACTACGTTTGTGTGGAAGAATGAGTGACTAGTGTACCCTTAAGGAGCGACAAGTTAGCTTGCGACAATTTGAGCCTACGACTGACAGTCAATTACGCTCTACTGTCCGTAATTGTGACAGGCGTGCCACGCCCACTTTGGGCTTCCTCTTGTTTTTTATATTCCGTGGTTGTAGTCTATACATCATATTCAATTTGGGATAATTTAAAAGAAAAGTAGAAGCCTTATTTACTCGTATTTTCAATATATATATATATGTATATATATATATAATTTAATTTTACGCTATTTCTTGTTACTTAGTTAAAATGATTTCAAGCATACTAGGTTTTCTAAGTCCCTAATAACAACGTAATCGTTAATATACAAAGTCAAAGTAGCATAAAGTCACAGCTGACAGCGCAATAGAATGCCTATAATTTTAAAAGGATATGACTTTTTTGTGATGACTAACTACTTAGCTAATATTTTTGTTTATTTTTAAGAAGTTTAGAAATTTTAAGCAAAATTTTTAGGTATTTTGTTGCCATAGTTTATATAGGGGTGGTCCCTTTATGTCCTGCACAGTTTTTTTAAAGTCATTATTCATAGCTTTTTTTATTATTGATTAATAAGTAAGTTTTTATATTTTTTTCTCTTTATTAGGGATAACAAACAATTGTACAATATAATCCTATTATTAAACACAATACTATATTTAAGCTTAATAATCATTAATCATACAATCTACACCGTTATCCACATATTACTATTGGGTCTGTGTATGAAAATGTAATATTCCATTAAAAATGACCCATTCACTAATAAATACAGAGAAAAACAAACTGATTTATATATATGCATGTAAATGTGCACGCATATACATACACATACACAAATACACATATATATATATATATATATATATACACACACACAACCCCACACCCCCTATATATATATATATATATATACCAACATATACATACACGCACATACACATACACAAATAGAGATAATACGTAGATGTAAAAAACTAAATTTAACCTAAATAAACAATTAAGTACATTAAGTTGCATCAAATTCGGATAGAATCTCATACACAGCTTTTTTAGAACCTTTAATTTTCGTAGATATTACAAATTACCCGTTCTCATTACTGAAAAGGGAGATTACAAGTGGCAATAAAGTTTACGAAAGAATAATCTACTTTGTTTGTTGGTGTTAATTTATTTATTTTACTATACTCCTGAGATCAGGCAATGCGATAAGATCTTTACGCAGCCACCACACCGCACTGCAAGTTGCCACTGACTAAATTGCTTATTTCCAGTGGACGGTCAGCTCAGCAACCGCGAGTTCGTTGCGGTCATGAAGAACCGGTTACTTCGGGGACTCGAGAAGCCCAAGGACACGGGCTTCGTCAAACTCATGTACTCCCTTATCAAATGCGCCAGGGACACGAAACCTGCCCTCCTTGACTTTTAACTTTGTTATTAATATTATGTATATTAACAAAACAATATGGCCACCACTGGAATTGTATGTACTGGTCATTTGATTTAAGCTCAATTGTTTATAATTTAAGAACTATTTTACAATTGTTTTTTACTTTTATAGTTGTTTTAATGCAAGATATTATACGTAAGCTTAGTCAACAAAATGAATTAAAATTATATAAAATATTATACTTTAATTGTAACACTAAAACAGAGTTTCTAAGAGGCTATATTATTGTATCAGAAACTTACTTATTATTTATTTTCAAGAAACTTCTAATTAGTATAAAATTATAAAACAAGCATTAGAGTAAAATGTATTAATTATTGTATAAGTCATAAGATTTTAAATATACTAAGGCATTCTGATGATAGTGTACAATAATATATTCTTTTTATTGAACCTCACAACCCTGTCTTTTGATTGTGTCAATTCATAATTTTTAACGCACCTTAAATTATCTACCTTTAAGTCTCAGTGTATCTTTTATTGAAACGACTATCCCTGGTTTTCATACTCAGAAAACGTTTCATTCTCCGTTACAATCCATTTTAATATACAAAGGTAACTTTTTATATAGAAGGCGAACATTAAACAATAAAGAATATTTTATCTTTATCTTGCTGGCCTAAAAGCGCAGTAATATTTAAGTAGAAGACACAAGCAATAAACTTCATTATTTTGTGCATCATTATTAATCTAAAAAAATATTTTTCGTATTTTCTTTCTTATTACTTAACTATACAAACATATTTATTTGTATTTCTTACGCGTCTGAATTTTTGTATAGTTTCATGGAATTTGCGTTTGCTATATTATACTGTAATGTTTTCCAATAAAAATCTGTTAATCTGCTCTTGGGAAAACTTCCATACTATTGTGTGCTTAATTTTGTACACGTAAAATAGTATATGTGGGCACAGCTTCCGAAAAATCTGTTCTTACGCTTGCTTTGTCCATTTTCATATTAGTATATTTTGCTTTATATTTTTTCAAATACATTATTTTTTATACTTTATTACATTTTACAATTTAAATTAGAAATTGGTATATAACTGACCAATTCTTATACATATATTAAGTGATTCTATAAGAACTTATGAATAATCGACTAAAACTGAACGATATTATGGTACATTTGCGCACGAAAAATGTCTACAAGCGCGTTTACAAAAAACTTTACTTATGGAACATTTAGTGTCTAACGATTCGCAAATTTATGACAATGGATTATTTTTTGGTTTTAAGATAAGTACTCTTTTTCTTTCTTGTATATTATTGTTATTTTATTATGGGTGAATAGAAATCGCGGGGTGAATAGAAACTAGTCTGGTTATTTGATAAAGTTGTTTCTAGTGTTTTCAAGGTTGCCAAAATAAAGGAAAAATGTTAGCATATAATAAACAGTAGAAATAAACACACGTTCCCGATATGCAGAAAAACCTAAAGACAACTTCAAATAACCAGACTAGTTTCTATTCACCCCGTGGTTTCTATTCACCCCATTTTACCGACACTTATGTTGTTTTATGTCTTTATTCTACTCTCGGTAAAAATTTAAAATAAAAATTAAATTATGTGACATATTTCGCTTTTTTATTAAATTATCACTATACCTAAACCTTCTTTTTCTTTTCAGTATTTATTTATAAATCATTACACTATATAATTGGATTACCAATAAAAAATTATATGTTGTTTATAAGCATAGACAATGCAACAAACTGGTTTTTATATCGTCCGTATTTAAGGGCAAAGGTTATAGTTGTAATATCATTAAACGCCTTAGACATTAACTATGTTGGATAGGCGCAATAAATAACGAAAAGGCTATATATATAGGGTCCTTGGAATTAAATGGCATTTATTATAATAATAATTTAAATCAACTAATAGTGTAGGTATAAGGGGCTAAGTCGTCATGAATATTAAAAAGTATTGGGAGCAATGAACCGCTTTGGCTCCAACAGTCCGAAGCGGACGAATTATTGCGAATTTCGGTTTGGCCCAGAAACAGCGAACGCTGTCTGCGTACGCGTGTAAATCACTCGAAGCACAGCCCGTCGAAGCGACGTTTCGTTTGCCGCCATCCTCGCCGCAAAAAATAGACTTAATTCGATATCGCTGCGAATAATTCAAGACAATACAAACGCACACGAGCAGCGACGCCGACAGAGACTCAACGCACGCCCTCTGGTGAGTTACCATTTCTCAAGCCCCCCACTCATATTTTACGTGCATTAAACTATTTCACGTTTGCTTCAACGTCCTTGTTCAGTGGAAACGGTGATTTATTACGTAAACTTAGTTGCCAACCACCTACGACTTTTTAATATTCCTTTGAATCACTCGATTTTAAGTAACTAAGATAAATATGTTTTATTGCTATATTGTTCAATCCACAACTCCACAATATAAATAATATTTATTTGCAAATAATCCACCATTTTTTTTAACAAAAATAAAATACCTTTAAAAATATTACTTGCTAAAACTCCGCTAAATAAAAAAACTATTCCTGTACAGATAGTAGTCCAGACATAAACCTTCCCGACAATGCCTATGTACCAGCGGCCTGCGTTCTGGAGAGTCCCACATCAAAGACCAGATCCTGATGATGAACCGAGAAATTACGGCCGGAAGCCTGTAAGTTTTTTATCATTACTATTTTGGTTAAAAAAAATGTTCTATGTTTGTACATTTAGTTGCTTTAAATTGTTAGTAAGTTTTAACTTAAAAGTCTACAAATCAGCCAGTACTATCATCAAAGAAATTGAAAGTAATGACCTAATTATAATAGTAATCAGTGCCATAAGATATGTCAGCTCCTAATCGACTTCGTACGACTATTGCAAGTAGCAAGCAATAGATCATCCGCTCGGCCCACGTAATTCACGGTCTGCCAAATGGCTAGTACGTCACTTTGCCCTTAAATTCAATATTAACGTTCTATTTCAGTATAGTCAATGCAAGCCTATCTTTCAACATATTATGAACTTTCGCCAAGAGCATTAGAGGATGTAATAACTCTAATGCGTTTTGTCTAATGTTGATTACAGCTTAGCGTTTAAAACAGTATGGTGAAAAAGTATCACATATAGTACAAACTTGTAAGTAAGCATTGGCCTCGAGTGAATACAATGAACGTGAGGAATCTGAAAGCAATACTACAGAATATTCATAACTTTCGGTTCTAAAAGCTGAATGCGTACATGTCGACAGGAAATTGCAGAGGTTGTTTGAAAATTTGGTTGTTAATGGCGTTCAGTTCCCGTGAAATGAATTAGGTCGATTGCGAAGGCAGGGTTATGAGGACCTTGCGGGGAGGGGCGGTGGAGGAGTTCGCGGTGAGGTTAATTTTGCGCACACAACGTCGCGTCTAACCGCCGTGGTCGCATCGTCCGCGCATGTAGCGCGCGTGTCGCGCAGTGCAATATTACCCTTCAAAATGGGACGGCTGCATACGTTTGTTGTGACGCTGAGACGGGAACGCCGCGACATCAACTGGGGCCTGCGGCTGGTGGGCGGCGCGGACCTCGCCACACCGCTCATCGTCACGAGGGTACGCCCTTTGTAATTGCATCGACACAAGCTGCCATCGGCGATGTAAACAATGTGTTAAAAAGCGTAACTGTTACCTTAACAGCCTATTAAAGTCCAGTGTTGAACATAAGACTTGAAGCGACAGTAGCCTAATGGCAGGGCGCGGACCGCGAACTCTAAAAGGTCGTGGGTTCGAATCCGTCATTCGACTACTGGCGTGAACCGCTCGTAACACAAGCAATTTAAGCTTACCACGAGTGTTTAAGGGGAATTTTAGTAATGTTTATGGCATTGTTAATATTATTTTAATTAAAAAAACAAACATGGTTGTTTAACTCAAATAAGTTTTTGCGACTAGATGGTAGTTGAAAGATAGTCTTCAAAGACTTACATAAAGAAGAAAAAATAGTACGAAAACAGTTAGACATCAAAACTAACACGTCATTTCATATCATACACTTGCGTTTCGTACGTTGGTAATTTTCTGTTTGAATATGCAAATTATGTCAGATTACTTTCCTGAGGCTTCTCTTCGCGTATCAAAAGAATTAAACTTTGTGTCCTCTAACGTTTTAAAATATTTGAGGTCCTTAAACGATATCTACCTTATGAGAAGAAATTGTAGAAGTTAAAACTTTTACACATTACTCATACTAAAATCGTGGTTTATTTATTAATAATTAATTTATATATAACATGCACCTACTTTATCTCACAACAGTGTATTCTGGGAAACGAATCGGTCACGTCGTTCGACAGCTGGCGACAAAGTTTCACATCGGCCTATTTTTCAAACTTCTAATTATGAAAACTAGGTAGTTAACGGATTAATTTTGTGCACAGAAATCACTTTAGGTTTTCTGTTCTGTTCCCAAATGTTTTGATTGATACTTTATGAGTTTATTATTATCGATGCCCATAGTTTTCGATAAACTTTACTTCATAATTTTTTACTTCAATTGTTAGTAATTCTTTTCTGCCTCGAGGTCCGTGTGAGTAGGTACCACTCTCTTGTCAATCTCAACGTGCGTGCACTGCTGTGTTCCGCTCTCAACAGTATTGAGAGCCACTATAATACAGGACATTCCACATTAGTCCTCGGAGGTGACAACGCATCTTGATTTTGGCTGCAATAGCCACTTATTATCGGCTTGACTTTTTTATCCAATAAGGGTGACAAACGAACATAGGCCACCTGATGGTAAGTGGTGGCTGGGGCCCATAGACATTTGAATCTATCCTCAATTAAGGATCAAAATGCAGATGCACTGTCACCCATGAGGACTTCGATAAAAATGCCTTGTTTTCAGTAAAAAGGGTCTCTGGAACGCAAGGAGGTGTCCTTTATTTGGGACTATAAGTTTGTTGGTTTAAAACCATAAAGCTGTTATTCATACAATAATACATTATAATAATTCATCATCATACTATAATTTGCAGACTTAACAAAATGATACTTCATTGAAACTGATTCCCGACAGAAATTATTTAATATAATAAATAATTTTATAACGTAGCAAAATACTGCTGTGTTTCGTATGATGAGTAGAGATCTAGAGACCTTGTTTTATTGAAAACTAGGCATTCCATCGTAGTCCACAGGGGTGACAACGCATCTGCGTTTTGATTCTTAATCTGTAGATGTCTATGGGCCTCAGCATCCACTTACCATCAGCTGTGAACTGTGTGCTCGTTTGTCACCCTTATTTTATAAAAATCAACGTTATGATGAAAGCATTTAAAGTAATAAAATGTATAATTTGAAAATCATTGCAATTAAAAAAAAACTTAAAGTATTTTGCCATGTTATATTGACATTAGCTGACTATGGTCAAGTTGAAATTTTAAAGTTTATTATTAGTTTATTTATAAGGAGCGCTAAAATAAGCAACGGTTTACAAAAAGAGAACACGATCTTATGTTCGGCAGCTGTTAAATTGAAGAAATATTTTAGTGTAGTGCAATTTACATGATATGTACGTGAGTGGAGACACTGTGAGTCAGCTTGAAGTGTCTTAGCCAGCAGTACGGACAATAAATACGCGTTTATTTATAACGAAAGCCGGCTTCTAGGCCCGTTATCACGCGTCGTCGCTAGGTCACGAAGCAAAACAATAAATAGTATATCGCGTTTTAAGATCAAAGATTTAAACTCCCGTCGGAATTAGATGAGTGAAGTTTTATTAGTGCTTTTGGTTTTATATGTCAATACAAAACAGAACTCCGATATTAATCCTAGTTTGAACTGAGCAGTTGGAATGGTAAGTTGAACTGACTGAGTGTGTCGTCCATTACTGTGAGTGCGTAGGAATACCCAAGATACATCTGCCATCTGGTTTGTTTCTATTTTTTCTATGCACTTTATTACGACCTCGTAGTCGTAAATCAGACGTTCAGTGGTGTAACCTTGAGCCCATTTTGCTTTCGTTATCTTTAAGCACTGGTTAGCTGCTTGCTCCAGCATGTGGTGCTTCAATCGATGACTCAATTGATAAAATATGTTTTGATTTTCAATGCACGTTCCGTAATAAACAAAAGTATTAAAATGAATATTAACTCTTGTTCATTAATATCAGACCCGAAACGATTTGAACATGCCAATGTAAAGCAATAAGAAATTTTCAAGTATTTCTTTATCATAACAAGCTAATGTAGCCAGAATTTATCCAGTTTCATTTTAGAAAAGTAAACAGCTGCTTAACTTTACCTTGACAAAGATATTGTGTGGCCCTTGTGGAGCGAATTACTCATTTTTGTTCCGATTTAATTCAAATGCTACATATAAGAAGGTCAAAATAATAAAACGAATTTATCCACTTTTTTTTATAGAAGAGGGGGCAAACGAGCATGCGGCTCACCTGATGTTAAGTAACTACCGCCGCTCATGATCAACCGCAACACCGGGGGAATTGCAGGTGCGTTGCCGGCCCTTTAGAAAGGAGTAAGCTCTTTTCTTGAAGGTCCCCAAGGTAAAAATCCATGTAAAAAGTTAAATAACTTATGTACCTTATCAAAAATAGTCACCAATAACCCATACAGTAATATGGACAAATTATTTAGGAATTCTTATCTGATTTTGTTTTGTCCCTTTTAAACGAAAAAGCTACACTAAAAAGAGACAAGGGTTTAAGCCTGCGAGAGAATGAGGTAGAATAAAGTATACAGTTTTTATTATATATTTATTTATATTTTAATTAGGTACATAAACCTTAGGTACAATTATACCCTACTCCTTATACTCTGCGTTCCCTTGAAGTTTAGTTTTCTGAAGGTTTCACTGTGAATTATACACATTTTTTGGTCATTTATTATTTAATAAAATTTGTTATATAATTACAGCCTCTATAAGTCCCACTGTCGGGCATAGGCCTTTATTTACTCTTGAGAGTCTTAGAGGTGTTAGAGGGTTTGCCATGACAGGGCTTTTAGTAAATACACACATGACAAATGCGATGACAATTGTTTTTTTTAACTTTTTTTGTACGTGGTAGAGCCATGCTGCAGTTATATTTGTAGTATAGTTGTAGCACGAATGGGTCGGCTCGACCGGGGAGGGACCACGCTCTCACAGAATACCAGCGTCAAATAGTAGCTTAATGCTGCTGTGTTTCGTATGGTGAGTGTAGAGAACCGGAGAACCTTTTCACTGAAAACGAAGCATTCCATTTTAGTCCTCACGGGCGACAGCGCATTTGCATTTTGATTCGTAATCCAGGATAGATGTAGATGTCTATGGGCCACAGCAACCACTTACCATCAGGTGGACTGTAGGGTTCGTTTGTCACCCTTCTCCTATATAAAAAGTGACTTGTAATCGTTTTAAAGCTACATGGTAGGTAATTTAAATTAAACATGTTAAATTTGACTCTTTCGGTATTGGTAAGCACTGATAAAAATCTAAACATTTAATTTTCCATACTACTATTCCATACGACGACTTTCCATAATTCAGCTGGTTATTTAATTTCTCTTATCATCACCGTTACCGTTACAACCTATTGTAATAATAATGTCCTCCAGACCGAATTTCGGTCACGGCGGCTGCCTCAATAGATACTAGCCATCGGCGCAGGACAGGATTATAGTGCCCAAGTGTATGCGCAAGCACAGGCGCACTCTCTATTCCCTCACTGTCGTAATCCGATGAGACGGTAAACTGATACGACCGTAAAGAAATCAGGTGCAGGACCAACGGCTTTACATGCTTTCCGAGGCACGGAGGTGAGACACCGCCAACTTTCTGACTCCGGACAGCTACTGAGAATTTTTTGACGGAGAAACTCAATAATTGATTTTTGGGCGTGACCCGGGATTCAAACCCAAGACCTCATGATCAGCAGTCGTACTACTGCAACCACTAGACCAACGAGGCAGTCAAACACAGCCTCTATTAAGGTACTGCAGAATATAGGCCTCCCCCATAGATTGCCTCATAGTGCAACCGCAATTTTTTATTTTTAGTTTTTAGGAAGACGCTGCTGCCCGTGTCCTGGTTTGCTTCCCTCTGTTTCCTCTTACGACACCCACGGGATGATATGAGGTAGTGGATATTCTTACACCGCCACTACACTGTAACTTCTCTTCATGGTCTCTTACCATCAAGTCCACAAACATTTCGGAAATTTTTTTTTTTTTATATTCTTTGATCATATCTCACCTCAACAACCTCAGATCATAGAAACAACAGGAGATATGCCCAGTAGTTAAATGTATCAACACCTGTTGTCGCCAGTTTGTCCCCGCCACTCGCCAACTACTACACATGCAGTTCAGTAAAATCAATAGATACACGGTCGCGCACACACCCGCGTTTCATAAATCAGAACGTACAACACAACCAATTATAAACCGTATCCTATCAAATACAGCGTGCATTTACCATGCTCCGTACAACTCACACACTCAAAAACATCTGTTGCTATCGTTGTGCTGTGCAAAAGTCATTTATTTTACTTAGACGTTACGTAGTGATTGATTAAATCGGTAAATTATGGATTCTTCTATTTATAATTGTACTAA